GCTAGCTGAAGGTAGGGGCTAAAATATTGAACTAGCGCACTCCAACGGTAAACATTTTTGATTGAGTCGGTCGTGGCACCGGCAACCTCCCTTCGAATGTCTGAAAGAATTTATGTATATTTGCATTTGCCTCTTGCTTGGAAAAATAAATTGAATCGATTACTTATTTTTAGAAGGTATATTGGATTCGTTTCTACACTAGCTTATATATTGCGTTGCTCATGAATGCGTTTCTCATTTTCCTTGTCACACTCGACCGCACCGTTAATGCTAATTTTATTTAATGTATTTTATAAATTATTTTCATCGCTTTTAATCATTTTTTACTCTCCCATGTACTTTTGTGATTAAAGTTATATACTCAGCATGAACTAAAAAATATATTTGAAAATACAGATAAAAAATTACCTGCTTAAAACGCGTAAGTAAAACTTATTGTACATAAAACGAATAGTCTGTCTACACATAAATATGAAAAAGTATGTGAAATATGATTATGTATTTTTGAAGAATACCCTAAGCCTCTGCATTCAATCTAAATGTCACGAACAAGAACATCAAATACTAGAACTGAAGGATTATTGTTGTAAAAATAATAAAATAAAGAGAGAAAAAATACCATTTATTTATTCATGAAGTAGCAATAAATATTTGCAAACATTTTTATTGTGCTGCATTTAAAATTGTTTGCACTCAACGAGCGACGTTCTTTTTGATAAATGAATTTAACATTCAATTCGGAACGTATGCGAATTATAATTGAAAGGTTTTATTTTAATTAAGAACAATCCATATTCACATATCACATGATGAGATACAATAGTTTGAGTGTTATGTACTACATGCACCAAAAAGTTTATTTAGATCTCTCGGAAAGTTTATCATGTTTTACAGCAAGTATCACAAATTAGTATCTTGTTAGAATACAAAAAAGGTTGAAGTATCTAAAATATCGTCATAAAGAGTGCGAGTGGATGTCTGTTTAAGATAATTCTAATGCCAACAGAATTCAGCATCAACCCGGCAATTATCAAGAGCATTATTGCGAAAAGCGAAACCCCCACATTTAATTGCGTCGACTGCTTTCTTTCCTTATCGCAATTTTATTATAATGACAATAAGCAACAGCGTAGCCATTGAATTATTTAAAAATGTTAAACTTGAATTAGACCGGCTGGAATTTTTTTCGGTAAATTAGTTTTGTTTGTGGAATGGCGAGAGGTTACACAGAAAAATAAATGATTTTGCTTGTTACAATTTTTAAAATTATTTTATATGTAACCATGGTCAAATTATTGGAGCCTTGACTGTGTTTTGATATTCGAATATACATATTTGTCGGTGATATCTAAAAATCGACGCCTGGTAGTCGTGCGTGGATGAAACACCCGTGAGCTTGGCACATCACAATATTTTAACTGAAGTCATTATTTGTGGAATGTTACCCTTTTAAATGTATTTTTTTTAAATCGTCATTTACCTACATATATTTATATATTTATTTTATCAAATACTTTGTATCCTAGATCGCTTACTGGATTATTCGGTTTTAACGTTGGATGTGTCATTTCATTCGCATTATTTGTAGGAGGTTCAAAGAGTATTCTTTTTGTATCGACCTGGGTTGTCTCAAGGTGGGTGTGTCGTCCTGTGTGTCGGCATTCACGTTCTGTGAGCTCCGGTAGCCACTTAATCCCAGGTGGGCGTGAGCTCGTTCATCTATCTACATAATAAAAAAGAAAGAAGGCTCCGTCGATCAGGCGTTCTAGGTGATCTATGGTCTGGTTCTAGCCGCGGTCCAGCTATTATTAAGCAGAGCCCATTAAAATAGTGAAATAACCGCGACACAAATTGGATTTAGATCAATAAATAAAAATGACAGGAGAATTTTTTGTTTTCTTTGAATTAAAATTATTTCCAAATCGATAAAAAACAATTTTAAATTACCAAAAAATCTTAATGCTTAATGTATGTATGTTATGTTATTTGTTTTTATACATATTTTGCTTGTTCTTCATTCGTAGGTTTTAGCTATAATTATGTTCTGTGTTAGTAAAATTTGAATTACTTGCAACTTTAACATTATCGGCGGTAATGTAAAGTGCAGGAATTTTGTTCAAATATTCTTTTGAAGAGCCAATTCGTCGAACGTTCACCTAACAATCGATGGGTAGGTAATTTCGGAAGGAAATTGGGCATCTCACCCGACCCTCTGTCACATTTTTGGTACGGGACAGTCGCACCCAAGTATCTGAGAAAACCCGACTAATATTCAACCTTTTTAAGTGAAAATTTATTTCGATTGGTCGGAAGTGAATGCCATTTAGGGGTTTGGCATCGATAAAGTAATCGAGAACTTTAATTTTATTAAATTAATATAAAAGTAAAGTATGCGGTTATAATTTGTGACTTAATTGAAAAAAAAAAGGTACTTTATAGGTTTACGCGCCTTCAACGGCATACTAGTTAAGATATTTATATGTTGTATCAGGTATACGCCTCAAATCGGTTGGACGATCAGTGTAGCTCCCAGACTACGATATTTAAAAAAATACATAGAACTAATAAGTATAGTAAATAGTAGTATAAAAATGTGTAGGTACATACATACATATAAGTATACTTAAGTAGTATTGTGTTTTGTGGAATTCCAAATCATGGATTTTGGTTTACATAGGTTCAATCTGTCTTAGATGGAAACTATATTAAATACACACCTAAGTTATGATTGTAAATCGATTTAATAGATATCACTCCTATCATTATAATTTCATGAATTTGATTCAATTAAATACAAAGAGTTAAGGAGAAATTGGCATCAACATTCATTTAACCAAATTAACGAAGTTCTGTACATTCATACTACTAACGCCGGTCACCGTTCTCGTCGAACCCGTCGACGAAGGGCTCGACGAGTAAATTAACCCTCAGACACAGCCCCCTGAGTTTCTCGCCGGATCTTCTCAGTGGGTCGCGTTTCCGATCCGGTGGTAGATTCTGCGAAGCACGGCTCTTGCTAGGGTTTGTATAAGCAACTTCGTCAGGTTTGAGCCCCGTGAGCTCACCTACTAGTTAAGGTTACGCTGATATAGCCTCTCAAGGCTATCAGCTTAGGTAGGAAAAAATATACTGAAGTGTCTAAATCCCTTATTACATTCATTCGGTAAAATATATAAATAGTTGATCTTCATTTAAGAATCATTCGGAACAGACGGGAAATGACTAAGACAATGCGCATCATTCAAACATCCCATTAAATCGCACGATTTAGCTCAGAACCGCTCCTCTGGTGTGGGTAAATTAAGCAAATTAAGAGCTCGCTCATGAGACAGTAATTACTGAGCTTTTGCACTTGGCCAACGACCAAGATTGGGACCAACACACAAGTATCCGTGGCCAATTTGATCGCTGTTCTTAAAACGGAAATATAAAATTCTTTGTACATTAAGAAAGTTGGTAATAGGAAGTTTAAGCAATGACGTTATTAAACTTTCTCATGTAATCAAGCTTCCCGATAGAAGTATGCTGAACGTAGGTTTCTATGAGTTATGCAGGTATATTAAGCCATTAAGCCATTTTTACTGGTGGTAGGTCCTATTGAAGTCCGCGCGGGTAGGTACCACCACCCCGCCTATTTCTGCCGTGAAGCAGTAATGCGTTTCGGTTTGAAGGGTGGGGCAGCCGTTGTAACTATACCTGAGACCTTGAACTTATTTCTCAAGGTGGGTGGTAGATTTACGTTGTAGATGTCTATGGGCTCCAGTAACCACTTAACCCCAGGTGGGCTGTGAGCTAGTCCACCCATCTAAGCAATAAAAAAAAAAAGCGATAGTATCGATCTGTGTGTGCTGACAACACAACCTGCTACCAGCAAAACTAATCTTCTTTTTAGCATATTCTGTAGCATGTCAACTTTGTATTAATTGTTGGAAATATCTAGAAAGATTTCAAAAATCACGAAATAATATTAAATAACAGTAAATCTAATTTAACACATTCGTGGCTCTCTGACTAGAAACTTTCTGAACTGTATCATTTATTTTGATTTTCGCTACAAGATAGTATGAAATCTAATAGATTTATAGGTATAGATTACGGATTATATACCTAACAGATTGCGGTTATGCCTTAAAACATTATTTATCATCGTTATTTATTATTTAGCAAATAACTCATCTTCTAATTAATAATCTAATTAATAAAAGTCAAATAGTTTCGTACCTATAAGACATTTAATCGTTTCTTGTAATTCTCTAAATTTTATGACGAAATTCCTAAAGTTTTTCCGAAACCTATGACACTAATATTTTATTAAAGTTATTTATTACCACATTTTATATTGTATCACCGGACCTATAATAAATATTTGATTTCATTTGTCAAAGTATTTGGAGTTAATACTTTTATGGTACCGTGTCCATTAAGTGGACCAAAAGGATAATTGGAAAGTAAAGGAGCTACATTTCGAACTTAAATAAGCTAAACATACGTAGCTTAATCGCATTTAAGTTTTTACTCTACATTTACAAGTGTAAAAGTTTCTTTATTCGATTTATGAGGGGCCCGATATCGGGACGTAACTCAATTCGTCGCAGGCTCGTAGGCTCTGTATGGATTATGAATGTTATCGTAGCCTGGTTGCTGCATCGGCTACTGTGAAAAATCACCCTCGATAATCTTTTATGCTAGACTGACACTGAACTCAGTAGCTTCATCCGTTGATTTTTATTCATTAAAGTTATTCTAACAAGATTTTAGCTCCTGAAATACATTGCAAAGAATAGGTAACTTAAACGGCAATAAAAAGAGGAACAAGTCTAACTAAAACATAACATAAAATACGATTAAAACATAGGGAGTATTTGTAATGAAACGGAAGACGGATTAAAGGATAAACTAGTAAAAGTGCGTTAACAAATAAAACAGCTGTAGTGCAGGCGCGAGGGCGGGCGTACGGCTTTTGGGCCTATCGACTCGCCTTCACGCATGCACCTACTCACCTCAAGGTCATCGAAGTCGCCAGCGCCGCCGCCCGACCAGCCGAGCCCTACGCGACCCTCTATCTCCCCTTTACATTCTGACTACCCACTTTAAAAATTAAAGTAACCCTCGTTCTTCCGGCACATTTTCTAGGGAGAGGGCCACCGCCACCCGTTTCGTCCCTGAGAAAACTGACGGACGTCGCCTCTCCTCGACGGGTTTTATAGGCGGCGGCGGGGTGGGGCGTGGACGCGAGTTGCGCCGTCGATTCGCGAACCCGATAAATAAATTAATTAAAAGTGCAAGCAAGTGATCGGGCACGTGCAGCCAACCTGCGAACTCTATAAGAGATTCGCGTTAATTGGAATAGCAGAGGCATCAGATGCACAAGAGCGAGATTGTTCTCCAAGTCACGACTTACAAAGTCTTAGCATAAACGTATGTATGAGCATCTTAGCCGATGATGTTAGAGACGTCTTCATAAAACGAATTTAGGTTTAAATTTTATATTTTCTGAAGTACCTAAATATAGTAACAAACACGTGGGAAGACAGCGAAGGCGTCGAGTGATGGAATTGTCATACTTCTCACTAAATTTTCTATGTAGTGAATTCAATTTATACTAAATGTCTTGTTAGGGATGTACAAAAAAGTAATTTTAAGGATTTTAATCAATAAATATTCGGGAATTTTTAGTGAGTTACTCAAATTTCGCTTGTTGGAGACTACGACTAGGGTGGAGAATGGTTTGTTTCTGATCCTCATATTACTGATCTACATCAGACGTCTTTTAGGCGGATTATCTTAGTTTTTTTGACTTAAAACTTGAATAATAATTCAATTGCAATAGATTAGCTAAACTTATTAATGCGACGCGTGATATGTGTACATTAAATACCCTACGCAAATTTACAATTTCCGTGGGTACATTTTTTATTATCTCTGTGCTATTCTTTTAACACGAAAGTCGCGTTAAAGACGGTTAGGTTTTTATTTCGAGATTTTACGGCATTTAAAAAAATGCCTACCTATTGCTAGTAGTCTCGTAGCGTTATGCTAGCTTCACGCGCAGGACGCGAAGCCACAGCATAGTCGCACATCTATCTATAAATAGGCACAGGCAGAACATAGGTTATAGACAGAATATACAGAAGTCGTCGTGGCCTAAAGGATACGACGTCCGGTGTATTCGTACCAAACGATGCAAGTGCCGGTGTTCAAATCCCGCAGACGGGTACCTACCAGTTTTTCTAATGAAATATGTACTTAACAAATGTTCATGATTTATTTCCACGGTGAAAAAAATCGCATGAAAAACAGATCAAAACTTACTTATTTTCTATCTTTGCTTATATTCTTTTTTATTTTTAATGCATAGACGGGTGGACGAGCTCACAGCCCACCTGGTGTTAAGTGGTTACTAAAGCCCATAAACTTTTACAACGTAAATGCTGCCACCTACCTTGAGATATGAGTTTTAAGGTCTCCTTTTTTACAATACAACGGCTGCTCCACCCTTCAAACCGAAACGCATTACTGCTTCACGACAAATACACAAAAATAGGCAGGGTGGTGGTACCTACCCGTGCGGACTCACAAGACGTCCTACCACCGGTAATTACGCAATTTATAACTTTGCGATTTGATTTTTTATTACATGATGTTATTTAAGTGGGAGTTAAATGTGAACATTTGTTAAGTGCGTATTTCATTAGAAAAATTGGTAGTTGCCTGCGGGATTCGAACACTAGTGCATCGCTAGATACGAATGCACCGGACATCTTATCCTTTACAACACGACGACTGTGATGAAGAGTGAAATAAATATTTATAGATCGTCTTTAACTAGCTTCATAGGTTGTTCTTGAAACGAGAGCTTTTGGTTTCCGAGTAAATAAGATTGCGCTATGACGTCATCTTTAATATTTGGTATCTATTTAAGACGACTGGTATGAAAGCTTTAATACCTATGTTGTGGTATAATTAGCGAACTGAGAAACCTTTTACAATAAGTCAAAGTTATCATCTGGCTAATTAAATATACGTCTACGACTCGTTAAAACTGAAGATAAATTTTATCTTATGGGCTTATTAAATACGTATCAATCACTACATAGTATAAAACAAAGTCGCTTCCTCTGTCCCTATATCTGTCTGTCCCTATGTATGCTTAAATCTTTAAAACGACGCAACGGATTTTGATGCGATTTTTTTAATAGATAGAGTGATTGAAGAGGAAGGTTTATATGTATAATAACATCCATTAAATAGTGCAGAAATCAATAATAAATTACAGTTTCCGAAGCAAATCGAGGGCGGGTCGCTAGTTGAGGTATATTTAGATAGTATAGAATTTAAGTTACATCGCGTGGTTATAATTTAATGGATGGTGACTGTACGTCATGGGCAGAACACCAGCCAGATGGTCAGATCTGGTTAGGAAAGGGATTGGTGGCAGTCTATACCATGCGGTCTAAGCCACCCATGACCGAACACTATAGAGGAAAGTCACATAAGGTCGCGATTGTCCGCAGTGAGGCAACGCTGAAGAAGGAGACTGTACGTCGTGGAATCGTTTTCTGTTTGCTGACGCTACTGTTGTTGAAGATACTTTTCATTGATGGCCTTGGAGTATGAAGGAACTCAAGGCTCTCCTGGTGTCATGTTATGTTACCGAAGCCAATAGACATCGTAACGTGACCGCCGCCTTGAGGTATCGGGTCGATAATATTTAATTTTCCAAAAACAAAAAAAAGCTATTTAATTCTTCTTTGAAACATCTTTGAAATTACAGAATCCTTAGAATTTCTCGTTTGCGTATTTCTGTTGTAACCAAGTGCCTACTGGCAAGTAAGTTTGTGGATTACGAGGAATTGGAAACAATAAATCATGATCTAATTGAACTCGGCTCTTAAACTTAGTATTAGCCAATATTTAGAATATTTATATTTTCTGTACATATTTATACGTGCGTATGTATTTATTTTGACGAACATAATGTTCAGAAATTTTAGTGGTAAAGTATATTGTATGCCCGTAAGCATAAATACCAAGATTTTGCGTATTTCTGCCGTGAAGCAGTTTTGCTTGGGATTCCGACTTCATAGTTTAAAGTAGGCAGTATTCACATTGCAATGCAGTATTCCGAGAACCACTTACCACCAGGCGGGCCGGGAGCTCATTAAAAGATCTACGCAAAAAAATTAAGGTATTGTGAACGTTGTTGCTTTTCTTGGAACATAAAGATTAATCGCATCGGAAAATAGAGCAAATGATTACTTTGTTGCAAAAAGTTCACTGGTGTTAGTACCTCTTGTGCGTCCGCACGGGTAGGTACCACCACCCTGTCTATTTCTGCCGTGAAGCAATAATGCGCTTCGCTTTGAAGGGTGGGGTAGCCGTTGTAACTATACTGAGGCCTTAGAACTTATATCTCAAGGTGGGTGGCGCATTTACGTTGTAGATGTCTATGGGCTCCAGTAACCACTTAACACCACGCGGGCTGTGAGCTCGTCAACCCATCTAAGCAATAAAAAAGAGGCTGTTGTATCAAATAATCTGGAGGCACAACACGAATTATGTTAACACCAGTATAAATTATTTACAGATATACTTTATTTTATATGTAATTTGAATTTGTATTTGGATATAAATAATTTTCTAACGACATTGCGTTAATTCAGCTATATAAAGACTTTGATTTCGAGTATAGCATGACCCTATTTAAACCAAACAGTACTTCTCAAAGTGTTGTGGATTTTGTTAAATCCAATTAATAAATCGATATTAATTCGTGTGAAAGTATTCATAGATTTATTTACACCTGAGAGGCACAGCAAACTGGGCGACAGAACTAATTTGAACGAACTCGCGGACAACATCTAGTTAATACTGCATACATCACTGCACCGAAGCAATAGGGCTTCATTCGAACGTGAAGTAAATTAATTAATCGTGTGGCTATTTCAGTACCACCTGGGCTCTTGTTAATCAACGTTATATAACTCAGTACCTAGACTGTTAAAAGTTATTTCAGTTCCTTGAGAATTAGATTTTAATCCAATTAAAAATGGACAGTCGACGGGGCTTTCGCCGACGGGTCGTCAAGTAAGGGCCATTTTTGCTATTAACTCTGTTGGGCGTATTGAATTCAATCGATATTGCGTTTTTAATTAATATATTGACTTCCACGGTGAATGACATCGTGTAAGAAAAATCAAACCCGCAAAATAATAATTTGCGTAATTACTAGTACCACCACCCCGCGTATTTCTGCCGTGAAGCAGTAATGCCCTTCGGTTTGAAGGGTGGAGTAGCCGCTGTACGTATACCTATGAGGCCTTAGAACTTATATCTCAAGGTGGGTGGCGCATTTAAGTTGTAGATGTCTATGGGCTCCAGTAACCACTTAACACCAGGTGGGATGTGAGCTCGTCTACCCATATAAGCAATAAAAAAAAATATCACAATTTTTTTTATTTGATGTACAGTAGCGGATATAATGCCTAGGGCCACTCAATGCCAATTACCGCTCAATGAAGATTCGTGTATTTTTTTTAGTAGATAGTGCTTGCATTATTATTGTTTTTTAAAATTATTAAAAACACATAACGATTTTGTTTGAAATTTAATATCAAATATGTTTTTTTATAGCCCTTGTAAGTAGTACGCGGTTAACCCAATGCTACCTTGCTACCGTAGCTGTCGATAGAGGTATTATCACAGATCATATGATCTGTGAGTATTATTGATAGAGTCGCATCGAACGCTGGCGGCGCGATTGGAAATACAAGTTGTCGGAATCATATAAGAAAAATCTCAGAGCACTTCTCATAGAATATAGCGTAGATAACTTATCGAAAACCGAAGTCTCTCAATCGACCCAGAGATTACAAACGATTCGTGAGAACGGGATTATTGATGAACGAAAATGAAACTGTAAAAGCGTTTTAAAATTCTGAATTAATATTTTTATAAACCAACTACGTGATTATTAGCACACGCTTATTTCATTTTGCTTTAAAAAATTAATCGGTAATATATTCTAGTGACGTATTCTACTTTACTATTTTTCTTTTTTTTTTCTATCTATGCTGTTAGCATTCAGAAGTTATTTCAGCTTCTCCTTGACGTGTTGGTGGGCTCACGGGGCTCTAACCGGGAGTGTTGCTAACAC